GGTGGGCTGTTAGCTGTAATACGGCTGTCTCTGGTGGCTCCACCTCAAAACGGGCGAAGAAGAGGTTCAACTCCTCCGCCAGTGAAGGGTCCCCGTCGACAGCAGCGAGGTTTGATCTATGATTGGTTAAATGCTGTATCCCTTGCCACACCTGCCGCGTGTTATGTGTCCTAATATTATCCTCAATCCTCTGCTTGTAATGCAGTTTCGCCCGTCGAATACCTCTCCTCAAATTAGCTCTGGCACAACTGTATGAATTCCTATCGCCTGACCTAAAGGCTATGTTCCTCTCCCGTAACAGTCGTCGAACCTCTCTAGTCATCCAGGGTTTTTGGTTGGAGCAGACCCGGACACGCTTATCCACAGTAACAGAATCTATGCAATATTTAATATAGCATAGGACTGCCACTGTATGCTCCTCCAGGTCTGGATGGTCAAAAATGTCCCAATTGGTTCTCTCAAAACAGTCTTGCAGCTGATGAGAGGCACCCACGGGCCAAATTTTGACAGGCATTATTTTGGTAGGAGCCTGTTTCCTGAGGGGGGTATATGCTGGTGCTAAAAGCAGAGACATATGGTCTGACTGGCCCAGATGTGAGAGCTGCATAGCTCTGTAGCCATGTTTTATATTAGAATAGACCTTGTCTAATATCCTATCTGGGTCAAGAGTAGTAGAGGTTTAATTACTGCAAGTTTAAAAGCCTGTGGAACATAACCTGTTAATAGAGAGAGGTTAATCAGATCTAGTATGGATGTGTTGATTAGGGGAAAGACGTCTTTGAGCAGCCTGGTCGGGATGGGGTCCAGGAGCCATGTTGATGATTTAGATGAAGCAATTGTTGAGGTCAACTCAGAGAGATCTATAGGGGATGAATGCTGCAGTTTTACAGTATAGTACTAAACAGTGATGAAGGACTCAGATTGTTTACTTAAGTAAAAGTATCAATACCACAGTGTAAAAATACTCTGTTACAAGTAAAAGTCCTGCATTTAAAAGTACAAAAATATTAGCATCAAGATGTACTTAAAGTACCAAAAGTAAAAGTACTCATTATGCAGAATGGCACAATTCACATTACTGTATATAGTGGATTATCATGACTGATGCATAATTATGTACATCACATTTAATGTTTCAGCTTGTAAAGGTGGAGCTAGTTTTAACTAAATTATACAGCTATCATTTGAAGTACTTTACACACTAATGGGTACCTTGTGAATCTCCCACTGGGAACCAAGTCTCATGATTATACTGTATGTTGTTTTATTGATTTGATTCTGAAATGTAGTTTGTATAAACTACAGTATTTTGCTCTGAAATGCAGTGAAGTCCAAGCATGAAGTAGCAGAAAATAAAATTACTCAGGTAAAGTACAGATACCTCAAAACTGTGTTTAAGTACAGTACTTGAGTAAATGTACTTGGTTACTTTCCACCTCTGGTATTAAAGACAGTGAAAACATCACAGTAGAACTAATAGTAGTTCTCAACTAAATTCCAACCAAATCACCATTAAATAGTCAGATATTTTGAGCTGCCATAGCAAAGACACTCTCTCCTACCATCCAATTTACTATCCTACACCTACAGTACCTCCCACACACAGGCTACACACACAATAATAATCATGCAGATGCACAAGCAGAGAGCTAAATCACAGCTATACTCGCCTTTAACAGTGGAAATGTTCACACAGTTACAATTTCTTGTTCATCTTCCTTAAAAACTATTCCCATCATCATCTTTGTGTCTCTCCTGTTGTACCTATTGAGAAAACACTGCTGTGGGGTTGCATCCTATCAAAAGCTACTTGTTGGGATATAATAGCCACATGAAAAGTAAAATGCTTTATCTAATCAAAATGGTGCATTACACAGTCAACAATGGAAGGCTCATTAACTGCCTGTTTTGCTTTTGAGTCATGTTTGATTTATTCTGGTGATGAGGGAAGTCCTGAAAAAGATGTCTTGATGCAATTTCCTGTGAGAAACCAGGAGTATGGGCTTCCCTCACCTCCTAACGGGGAGACACCAAGCTCTCTCATGAGTCAACAGACAGATGGGAATAGACACAAATATAAATATCACCAAACAGATGAACAGATATCTCATTACCCTCCGAATCATCTGTGTGTACTAATGCTGTAGAATCATTTCTATCTGTATTAGTTGTCTTATTTGTTTTTTTTTGAGCACTTACACACAGACTAAATTATAGTTTCATTGGTTATTGAGAGTTTTTTGCTTTTTAATCCTCTAGTAAGCTCAAGGGGATTCAGCGTTTGCAGAATAAGTATCTAGTATCACTGTTACCTAACACACTGCACAACAGCAACACATAGACACATAACAAATTAAGGCAAACATCAACAAAATGTGCTGCAAGCTGTTGGGACACCATGATACCTGGCAGAATAGCTTCAATGCTCTTCAGCACCATTTGTCGTGGACAGATAAAGAGACAACAGGCCCCTGTATAAGACCCCCATCCCTCCTACAAGAGAGCAAGAAGGCATTTTTTCTCTGTCTGCAATCACTCGGTGTCTCTTTGTAGTTGTTTTGACCCTTTGTGGTCATTTTGCATCTTTGTAGTAGTTTTGTGTTGGGTTTTCTTAACATAACTGGTAACCCCATTAAAAAAAAAAAGAATGGTTCTCCTTGTGTTAACTTTAGCCAGTTAGCCAGGCATGCTAATGGTCCCAACACCTGTTAATCCATTCGTTACACTCTTGTTCTCATGTTTTGTTTTTGGAAAGACCAGGAACCCAATGTTTTTCCTATCCTTACTGTAATCTGGTCCCTGTTTCCCCACCACAGAAATCTCACCTCTGGTGCGATGTAGTCCGGGGTCCCGCAGAAGGTGCGTGTGGTCATGCCTTCATACATATTTTCCTTACACATGCCAAAGTCAGCTATCTTGATGTGGCCCTCAGAGTCCAGCATCACGTTGTCGAGCTTCAGATCCCTGCAGCAGAGACCAGGTTATGAACATTTTTCTGTCTGGATTTGTGACCTCTTGGATATATTGTGTGTGTGTTGCTGTCCTGGCTAGAGAGGAGCACAGTTGCTCTGTACCATGCCTCCTCTCTGAGCACGTTCTCTGTTCACACAACACATCAAACACTGAGTAAATCCATCATTTCTTGGCCTAAATAAATGTTGCCCTCAGCCTACTTCATCTGTGCTTTTGTGTTCTTATAGTTCAACCAGTGTCTCTGCCTGTGTTTCATGTCCATCTTTTCCCTCCCCTCAGTCTCACAAAACAAAGTCAGGATGCCAAACACAAGGCCAGTGGGATATGAAGAGTGGCTGTGAGTCCTTAGCTGAAGTACTGAAGAAGAACAGGGTGACCTTAGTCTCTGCCAAGCACTTCTGTCTTTTGTCTTTTGCATCAGGGAGATTAATATGGATTTAATACTCACCTCCAAGTGCTGTTGTTTAAACACAGACCAGCAAGGTTAAATCTACAGTACACATCTGTTCTTAATCTCTTTCTCTCACTCATTCCGTCTTTCTGGACATACCCACATCTCTGCCCTTCTCCCAATTTTTCATTCTTTGTGTTATCTCCTCTTTGTCCGTTGTTTTAATCTGCCCATCAGTCTTTGTCTCCATAGCAATGTCTAAACCACTTCATCGTGTCTAACTTCAGCTCTCAGTTTCAACTTGTTTACCATTTTTGTTCTCAAATTATGATGCCTCAAAACTGTTCCTATAGATTTCCCCACATCTTTTCTTTATGTTCTCATTCTTCCCTGACTCACATTCTTCTTCTTTAATTTTCAACATGCAGACTGTCTTTACATTTCACCTCAACAAAGCACCAAGTGTCTGTTCTTACCCCACATTATTCCAAGATACCTATCTATCTATCTTTAAAATAACCTTTAAGCTGCCGCCCACCTGTAGATTATTCCCTTTCGGTGCAAGAAAAACAAACCAACAGCAATCTCTGCAGCATAAAACCTGCAAATTTGAAAAAGAAAAGACATTTGTCATTGAAGTGTTGAACTGAATACAAGACAGCTGTACACAACTATGCTTCATTATTTTCTAATTAAGGCACCTAAACACTGTATGCACACCAAATTAGGACTGTAGAGTTCTACAATAGGGTTTCATTGCCCATAGCACTAACTTGAGGTAGCTGTACTGCAGGATATCTTAATTATCCTTAAAATATACAGTGTGTGTGTGCGCGTGTATGAAGTATGGCGTCCTTACACTGCCTGTGGCTCCTTAAACTTGCCCATACGCTGGATATGATACATGAGATCTCCTCCGTTAATGTACTCCATCACAAAGTAAAGCCGATCCTACAAAAAAAAAAAAAGGTTATTGTCCAAAGGGCAGCTCTAAATAGATGCGACACAAAGAAAAGTGCAGTGTGTGCTTTCAACAAAAAGGGCAGTGCATTACGCTTAATGAGCATCAGAAAAAAAGATGTAGAGGTTAGGTACGGTATGCAGTATTCGATATGATCTAGCAGCGTACAACTGTATATGTCGTGAATCATGGTTTGCTTTCAGAGATATTAAAATGCCGAACACCATTTATTCTTTCAGTATAGCAGTTTGGTTAGGTCATATACTTGCATTATAAGTCACGAAGCTTTGATCAGTAAATGTGTTTTTCATTGAAGACTTGTTGCGTGACCCCATCTATGCAAAGAGTTGACGTCATAACGGAAACTTCGTATTCAAAAGAGGTCTCAGCTCGATATCATTTTTCTCTGCAGGGGCGCCGGCAAAAGAATGTGAATAAATATAGAAGAGGCAAATGCAGATGTAAGGACAGGCAGAACAACACAGAGACACACACACACAAACCGGTAAAGTGCAAGGGACTGAATAGACAGCTGATGAAAGAATGCTGAGGGAGCACAGTGGTGTCCTTTAAATGAAGTAAAGTGGTATTTTTGTGGGTCTGAGCAGTTCCGCAGCAGAGAATGAAATATGCAGTAAAAACCATGATGTTTTTACACACCACAGTCTGGAAGCAAGAGTGGAGCTGTGTGAGGAAGGACGGTTTGTCTCTCTGGGCCAAGACCCTCTTCTCCACCATCGTACATTCAACGTCATCATCCTGCATCACCACGTCTTTTTTGAGGATCTTGATGGCGTATAGCTCCTCTGTTGACTTCATCTCTGCCAACATTACCTGCAGTTAATGAAAAAAACCACAGGTCACAATAAATCGCAGAAATTCTGAAGTTTAATACAGCAAACAAATGCTGACATAACAGCACTCTCAGGCATTCCTCAGGATTACAATCATTGTTGTCCTGTTGCATCAGGTCTGTAGCTCTCACCTTGCCAAAGCTGCCCTTTCCCAGCAAGGCCAGGAAGTTGAAGTCACTGAGTCGGCCCCGGTCCATGTTACCTGAAGGCAGGCTGACCCGCCGGTGGTCTGATGGCGTGATCACTTTTTTACCATGGCCCATCTTGGCTTTCTGTGGTGTAGGAGAGGACATGGAACTTTCAAATAAATCACCATGCTGTTATCAGCTGGTCTGAAGTCAGATATTCACATCTGGCTGCCACTGACACGTGTCCTGATCAGATCACAGACCGCCACGAGCAGGGCTTAAGCGCCAATGAACATAAGGACAAAGAAAGTGCGCTTGCCAGCAATTAATCACGCTATGGTTGTGTGTGCAGCTTTTCAGGAAGATATATTTTATAAAATAAAACAAACAAATGACAGTGTAATAACCACAAAAACAAATTTTCACTGCGTTTTGCATGCTGCGATAGGTTCTGTAATCATTTAGCAGTTATTGCATTATTATTTGCTACAAGGTGACACAATGGATGCACACACCATCCCTCACCATCACAGACAACTGCTTCACTTCTCTGTTCAGTCTATTTCCTCACAGACCATGTAGTAGTCTATTTTTTCCACTGATGTGCCACTTATTTTGTTATATTCAAACAGCCTCACAGATATTCAAACAGATTTCACTTGTGATGCATTTAAGGGGAAATTGTGAGGTGGGCAGTCAGCAGGGGGGTTCCAGCATTGCAAGGTTCCCTGTTGTTATAATGCCTGGCCTGCCAAGCGTCTTTGAACAATTGGAGCAATTAGGACTCTGCCAGCTCCCATCACGGCTCTAGCGGTTGTCTGTTTATGTCAGATAGGGCAGAGAAGCCAGCCGAATGGTGGGACACAGAGAAGCTGTTGCCAGGCAAATTGGTTTTCTGCTCTTATTCATACAGTGATGGAGAAACAAATACTAAATCATCAATTTCTAATACTTCTGTCATTAATAATAGTTTGTTGTGGCTTTAATCATCCTGTGTGATGCCTAAACTGGCCACAATCCAGCAAAGGGGTCCCAAGTTGAATGTGAGGGACCCCAAAAAAGTAAAAGGAAATTTCAAAAGAAAGAATTATTATTATTCATTTTATTCTAATCTTCTGCTCCTTTCTTCTGAAATACTGTATAATTTAACCTCTTCAAGCCTCTATAAATCCCTTAAATGAAAAAAATCCAGAAAGGAAAAACCTTTTGGTTGTACTGCTCATAACTTATGTCCACACTCCTTATTTTTAATGGTCCACAAGTCAAAAAGGTGGTAAACCACTACCCTAACCCTGCCAGGACATTGCTAGCGAGGTGTACTACCAAATACACTCTGATTTACATCATGCAGTCAAGTGTTTCAGGCCTAAAACTTTTTCATAAGGTGGTGATCTACATGCATTGTTTGCTGGTGTTGATGTTGCACTACTAACTATAATGTCACCTGTGGCGGTTAATTTTTAAAATACATGTACATAAACATCTCTAACATGGGCCATTTGTCTACAGAAAAATGAGACAACTTCACATCAGTACAGTTCACACACACAAACACACAAAAAAACCACACCTACCTGTTTGAAAAGTTATGTGGCCACAAAAAGTTGTATTCAAACACAATTAGTACAGCCACACACTAGTCTTATAAAAATATATATAACACTGCCACTGTGTGGAGAGATTTGGCATGCACACCAAGCACACACAGTTACTTTGTGTGAGTGAGTGTCAGTCCATGCTTCATGTCCTAACAGCCTTCTATAGTCCAGACCAATGGCAGACTAGTAGAGGGTGGGAGCTGGTGTGAAGCTCTCCTAACTGATAATGTTGAGGATGGTGACACCACCAGAGGCCTGAGCGGTCAACACATTTACTAACAATAATGCTGTGTGGTGTTTGTATTAACTTCTGTACCATATTAGCACTAATCCCATGGCTGTTAATGTTTTTAGGCTTCAATTTGAAGATATTCGTTCCTTGAAACCAAATGCTGCAAATGTCAGTGTGTGCTGATCTGATCTTTGCCACAGATGCTGCAAAATCTTCAAAAGCTTTGCTTCAATTGTTACTTTATTTTAAAATGACATTAAGTCCCTTAAATTTTACTATGTGAAATACTGACAGAGTGTGTGAGAGCTTTATGCTGTTGAAAGCCTTTGTTAGTAAATCAGATTAATTTGTGGAAGCCCAGCAGAGATCCACAAACAATCCTAATACAATAAATAGAGTGAGTGTGATGCAAGCTGTGAGCGAGAGAAACAGAGATGAAGCAGGCAGGAGAGCTACCTTTAGATAGTGGATATTTAACTGGCAGGCCTAGAAAAAAGAGGAAGCTCATTTATTAGAGGTCATTTGATGTATGCATGTGTAGTTTGGCTACAAAGAAGCAACTACGACAAAATACACATGTAGACAAATGATGAGTCACTATTTTGATCTGCTTCAATCCATCTACAAATAATAAAAATGATCAGAGGTTTGACTAGAAAGCAGAATAAAACCCTTCTATGTCACATCTGGATGCATCTCGCACTAGTTTCCATGGCAACCGCACAGTTGCGTGAAGACGCCAGCCTCAGAGGGAAGTTGAGGTCAGCAATGAACAGTATGGAGAGATGCAGAAAATTAGAAAAGAGATTCCATGTCTTGAGGAGATGAAATGCTCACTCATTGCATTTACACTGTGCAGTCTTTTTCCACTTCTGAGTTATTACTATGGGAATGAAGAGGCCATGAGGTTTATTTAAAGTGAGGATGTTGTGATGTGTTAGAGTAACAGAAACCCTCGCAGACAGACACCTGCATTAAATAAACCTGCAAGTAAACAGCAAGAATTAGCTCCAAAAATGATCCCTTAGTCCTGACTAATGGACAACAGCAGTGTTTTTCATGCTTATTTCATTTAGAACAAAGTGTGTAAATAATACACTCAGTCATTTTCAAAGCAAACAGTATTTCTTTTTAAATTTTTGAATACTTTTCATACACTATAAACAACTTGGAGGAAGAGGAAATCCATCAAAATAAAAAGTGTTTGCTTTTGCTTGCAGTTACATTAATTTTGCACATATTTTGACTAATACATTACACATTTTTCAAATCAATATGCACTTACAGCTGGTATTCTATCATTTCTTTTTGAATATATTCACTTCCAAATGAGTTTTCGATGCATATTGGCATGAACTGAAATCAGTGATTACCAAGCAGTACAAAAGATAAGTTAAAAATGTTTCACACTAGTCCAGGTTTCAGAAAATAGTCAGATATAATGTAAGATTTAAATAATGTTAGTAGACTGGGAAAAACTTGCAATAACATGATGACCAATAAAAAGATTAACTCTCATATAATACCTCGACAGACTCCTGATTTCTAATAAATCATTTGTCTGGTTTCTTACAACTTAGGGCTAAGTTAGATAACAAAAATCTGAACAGTTTTATACATCATGGGTCATATTATTTTGCTGTATTCATCCCTTATGTACGATAGGTTAACTCTCGCTTTCATTGTAACATTTGCAGGAAGAGGTGCTTTTACACTGGAGTCCAGAGAGGCTGAGGAACTACAGCAAGAGCCTTAACGCTGTTCTTTGACATCAACAAAAACCCAAGGTTGGCTTCATTTAGACTGTCTGTGATTTCTCCTTCTGTATAGCTTCTCATATTTGTCATGTCCCACTGTAAGCAAGAGCCGAGCAGAGCACATGAAGTGCTGGTCTGTACCCGCTTGCAGCTTGAAACTACAGTAAAAGAGACTTTGCAATGTAACAGACAGCTATAATCGGTTTTTAAGGGACAAAATCTGAAGCTCATTTTAATTTAGATCTCCAAATAACAGCTCCTGAGAGTTGGGTTAGAATTTAGACTGATCAGAGTTGTTTTTAGCTGGATGCTTGTGTCTGCAGCCTTAACAGGCGAGCAGAACTGTAAGAGCAAGAGTCAGGAATTATAATGGACTGTGAGGCTACAGTTCTTATTTAAGGCTACTGTCTGAGACTTGTCTGGACTTATTGTGCTATCCATATTTACTGTAAGCTCGTGCTCTATGTGAAATGTTCCTTGAAAATCACGAGCATCCATTTTACTGATAGGAGAATGCGATCTCCCGCTCCGGCTCACAGGGTGAAAAGCACAAGGAGGAACAGGATGGAGGTTACCATGGTGACAGGAGAGAGGAACACATTTTTTGTTCAAGCGAGTGAGCATTTGTATGTTCAGTACAACAAACGTGTATGTGTGAAAAAGAAGATCTACTTCTGCTTTTATTGAACCTTATACATTCTAAACCCGAGCCACGCCCTCTTAGCCCTCACCTCAAACTTCTGCCGCAGCTCCAGGTCGACGTCGTCCACCTCTGGGATGGGAACGTTGTAGTACTCTCCCTCCTCCTGGTTCAACAACTTGTACCTGACAGAGGGAAAAGAGAGAAAAATGACTGGTTGTTATTTACTTCCTTCATTGGGCTGTAAATCCACATATTTCCATACTACTATTAATCCAGCAACCATGTGTTTCTTCCTCAGTTTATACATCTCTGTATTTCTGCATCATTTCAGTCATGAGCAGCCTTTCTTTGTGTTCGCAGGTCTGCTCTCTGTCAGCAGTGCCAACGTGACTCTACTTCATCTGTAAGGTACAAATGCTCAGGCCACGTGTTTAATGACCTGAAATACACAGGACAATATGCAGACCAACGGATAAACACACTGTGGTGCTTTCCAAGCTGCCAGTGCCAAGCGTTCCTCTGCACAGGTATTTCCTGGAGCGTCTAACAGTCACAGTCGATCAGGCTCGGTTTAGGGTAACATGGTCCACAAAGAGTGACTGTAAAATCTCCACGAGTGTGTGTCTGCCAGTGTGAGACAAAGCAGGCAGACAAAAACAGAGAGCTGTAGGAGATGACGCCAGCAGGTGCTGTTTGTCAGCGAGGCTGGACGTGGCTTTGGCCAGCAGTGCCTTTTATGCATGCCATGCTGCTGTTTTTGGGCAAAGTTGGCTGCAATCGTTGGAGGCAGCGAAGTATCGAGTTAACAAACTGCCACACTGCTGTGAGAAGACAGACCCTGTCCCTGTATTTGCAATAAAGCAGTGGAACCACATTACTTTGCTCGTCATCATTTACTGTAGCGTAGTGTAAAGGTTAGTTTAAAGAATTCTTTTGGATGGTTAGGACTTATTGACTGTGTTAAAACAACATGACCTTCAAATCATAAAAATGATTATATACAACTGTCTGCTGTTAACTACGTTATCAATCGCTATTGCTTATGTCATGTTGATCAAAATGTCTTCTACTGGTTCTCCGTTGAATAGTCCGACCTTCCCAAACATCTAGTTGACTGCAGAAAGTCATTACACGCAAAACAGTTGAACCATAATCACACATACTTGTGTACATTTCTATTACAGTAGACTTGTTTTGCAAATGTTTCCTGAATTGATGAATTGCTCGCAGAGGAATCTTGACTTTCATTAAAAGAAGGTGAATGTGTGAAGCGTTACATCAACCAGTGATCAATCAGTTCTCTACAATAGCTCAGAGGTGCATTCCATGAGCCTTCAATTGGCAGGCACCAATAGACATGGCATTAATAACTTCTGACAATGGAAGAACAAGGAAATGAACAGCTTCAAAATGTCACAAAGAAGAAGATGAGGAGCTGTAAGGCTGCGTGGTGAAAGTCGAACACTGCACGTTCACCATCTGATCAGAGCTTGAAATGAGTTCTTTTAGTTTCACTGCAGTTCACTCTCATAACAAAATGCAATGCCATCTAAAGTGCAACCCTGGCCATGACCCTGGACATGTACTTTGAATGCAGTGTGTACTGTGACATGTAAAGCATGACATACCGAGCTTTATAAATGTAGCACGTAATGTAATTCTAAATTCTTGATTCCACCCAAATTTAGTCAAATCTCCAACTTGATTAGATTTGATTTATTCTTTCAAGCATGTAAAGACAGTTGATATGTCAACACACATAATTTTACACATATCCAACAAATGCTAATCCAATATCAATTTGCTTATACCTAGTACATGCTTGAATGGAGTAGGAAGAAGTCAGACTTATCCAGTCCTACCCCATGACATCATCTTACATCATTGGTTTGCAAGCAGTATCTCTACATAAATAATTATCTTCTACACCACACAAGTAATATACTAAAAAATTATGACAGAGTGTTAACATTGATACATAATTACATTCTTAAATAATTATCTTCTACATTTAACAAATCTATATTGAAGTCACCACATATGAACATTAATTTATGACTTATTGTCAAGTAATTTTCTTCCATCCAGTCATTAAATTTTTCTATGCTGGCTCCAGGTGCTCTATAAATACAGCTTATTACAACATTTTTCTTTTTTTCCACGAGTATTTCTACAGTCACACACTCCAGCAAATTATCTACCACCCTTGACATTTTATCCACTTTCTTATAACAAAAGTTTTTATCTATGTACTGTACAAGGCCACACCACCTCCCATCTTATTCTCTCTGTTTGTGCATACCAAGTCATAGCCATCAAGGTCAAAATCCATTCCCCTTACATTATTCATCCAAGTTTCAGAAATAGCAATTATATTAAAAGAATGTGTAAGACTACTAAGATATTTTTTTATACTCTGAAAGTTTGCGTATAAACTTCACTTAAAAAAACTTTAAAAAGTTCAGTGGATTGTTGCAGTGAATGGAAGTGAATGGGGCTCGAAAGACGACTGACCATCCACACGTAGGAGTCTTGATCAGCTCAGACACTCCAAATGACATGGAGCCCATGAAATCGTTCCTGGTGGTCCGGTCCCAGTCCCATATCTCAATGGACAGACGGCGGTCCTTGTCTGATGCTTTCAGCTTACTGCACACACACACACAGGGAGCAAATGTAGAGTTATGTGACGACGGAGACGGCAAGGATCAAATTCTTTCTGCTTTCATTTTGTACACACACACACACACAAACACTTGACTCACAAGGTGAAGGACTCATTCCAGCAGGGGTTCAGAGATGAACGGATGGTCCTTGTCTTCTGTTTGGTCTCGTTCTTTGGATCTGGGATGAGCTTGAGTTTAACATATGGGTCTGATAAACCGTTTGGATCCATAGGAATCAGGTTCCTGGCTTCACCCACTGCAAGAAAGGGTGGAGACAGAGAGAAAGTAAAAACATTTATTTTTTTGTCTTCAGAGTCTGAGACTCCATAATTCCACACCGACTCAGGGGTTAAATGAATAGAGACAGAGGAGTACAGTCAGAGCGGTGATTCATTTCAAGTCAGTGCAGGTCAGAACAGCAAACAGAAATAATCTGCGCTTCAGTTCCAGCAAAATGACCTCTCTGTACTCCATATTAGATTATTAATCTGTGTATTAGTAAGTACTGACATGCTTACTTATTCTTTTTCTCTTCAGATATCCATTGAATTAAATAATTATTTCATTTAGGTAAATGTCCTGTACAGATACTTGTGCTTAGACATCACTTTTCAGACATTTGGAAAAATAAAGTCATGTAGATAAACATGCTCATCAGGACTGAAACTCAGATATCTGTATATGAACTAGTAATAAAAAAAAGTCACACCCAGCCTTAGTCGCACATCAATGTTTTACACCATGATTTGCTGTAAAACATGCAAGATCACTGGTTTGGGCTTGAATGCAAAATAGTAAGATGTGCAAAAGTCTAAGGCCACCATTAAGTTTAGCTGTTTTAGCAAGGCTGTAATGATCTTTTTAATTTATTTCCCAGTGTCTTTATTAAGATACAACCAGAAAAGACAGGAAACACAAATGTTCAGAACAAAACAGCTTCTACAGTCCAAGGTCAGTATTTAGAGTGACCTCCCTTTACATGTGGCACAACTGTTTTGAAACGTAGAAACCATGACAGACCCTCTACCATGTTTCACTGAAGTCTGCGAGCATTCATGGTTCCACCTCCTTCCAACTCTACTTCTCATGTACTGTCAGCGATTTGGACCACTCCATAAGACTCTCTTCCACTGATCTTCACTCCAGTCTTTGTGAGCTTTTGAATATCTCAGCCTTTTCTCCTTGTCCCTCTTCTGAAAAAGTGGCTTCCTGGCTGCTGTCCTTCCACAAAGGCCACTCCTGGTCAAACTCCTTTGGACTGTGGAAGGATCTACTTGGCATCCAGATGAAGCTGCCAGATGCTGAGCTGGATTTCCTCTGGTCTCTCTCGAAGAAACTCTGAGAAACTTCTCATCAGATTTTGACAGTTCTCTTGCTCTCTCACTCCTGTTTTTGTCCTTGACCTCTCTGGATTCTTCATATTTCTTTAGAACAGCTTGAATACCACAGCTTGAGTGTGCACTTTGTTTGTTGAATTTGATGACAGTTTTTGTGCTTTTTAATACTGTCCATATTTCCTATATTTTCTTCTGATAGTTAAATATTTATAGTCATCATAACATTGCTACAAGAACAAACCAGATAGATACTGTATATATAGATATTCAAAGTTTGTGTTTGCTTCATCAAAACAGGCAGCACATATGATGATGGCAGGTGCTGTGAAACAAAGCATACTGTCAAAATTCACTTGAAGTTGACAGTGTGAAACAACATCAACAGGATTATAACACCGGTGGGTGTTGGGGCACAAAAAAAAGAACGAAAAAAAAAAAATGAAAAGGGAGCTCACTTTAAAGTGCAGCTCTCACTTAGTTGTAAATGAAGTAAATAAAAACAGGTGGTGATAAAACTCCTCTCTCCTCATTTGTGCACATGGCTGCAGGGTAAGCAATAGGCTGGCAGATAATGTGAAGGAAGCGTGAGTGACATTTCCCTCTGTGCTAACTGACAGATGGAAGAGTGCTGTAACATAGCAACAGTAGTACGGTGACAAGGTGGAGTGAGCATGCCACGTTCACCATGGTGACAGCAGGCGCTATAAGTAGCCAGTGGGTCGACTCCACCGCTGCCCCAAATAGCGAGATCACGAGAACAAGCAAACAAATGGCAGTCGCATACGTTCGGCATGCATTCAACCACACAGTAAATGCCTGGAGACACTATTAACAACACAACTACAACAGATGGAGAGCAGATCCACACTGATCCGCTACAACTGTATTTATCAGCTCCAGTCTCCTCTGTCTGCTTATTTAATTATCATCAGACCCAGAGCAGTAGAAAGCGCTGCACAAATGAATGTTTCAGAGAGTCAGTGTGAACTTTCACACAAGGACACATTTGCTGAGATTCTTCATTAAATCAGCGGTAATGTTGTTTTTCACTCTGCAGCATAAATATTCAAGGGCTGAATACAAAGCAAAGCATTCACAAACATTAGAAAGGCAATGTCATGAAGAGTCACTGGAGCTCATTTAGCTCCATCTTTGTGAGATTTAGTTGGATTTATTGTGACGTTCAGCTGTTTTTATAAATGGATGTGACATTATGATTTTTAAGGCAATGCACTTTTTATGGATTAAGAGTTATGAATTAGTATGAAAAAGCAAGTACAATAAAGTAACGATGAAAGAGAAACCAGGTTTTGTGTCTGTTGGATTAGATCTGAAACCACTGGGAGAATAATCGATTTGTCAGTCAACTCAAAATTAAACAACTGTTTTACAGCACAAATGGCCCAGATCAACTTTTTCCAGATTTTTAAATGTGTAACATTGCTGGTCTGAGTCTGACTGTTACAGTGATTCTCTTTAGGGTTTTAGAAAATAAAACCTAATTCATCATTTTTATCACTGTGAAAACATAGATGACAGCACACAATATCAAATATAAAAACATTATGCTTTAAATTTAATTAAAGTGACAAAAGCACTTGTGTAAAAAAGAAAGAAACAAAACTAAGCAACATTAGCCATGCACTGAATATCACATAATTTATTACGGTCATAATATGTCAGTAACACAATCAGTGAAAATCACTGGAAAATTATGATTTTTGTCTTCAGTTTTTCCTGCGCGTCCATTTTCATGCACTAGAGGGCAGTGTTGGTCTCTCATTCAGAGTTGTGCTGTATCTTACAAAAACAGCAAGTGTTACTTTGTTCACAAATGTTTTGCTTCAACCTCATAGTTTACTCCTTATCCAATGCAATTTTTCAACCCCAGTAACCCCCCC